CAACTCATGCTTGTCAGAAGAGGCGACAACCGGGATCGGATGGTCAGGCTCGCTGACTTGGTTGACACATGGTATCGTATCTTAAGATCGATGCTCATGCTGTTGATTACTTGATTGTCTTTTTCAGATGTCCTTGGTGAATAGAGAATCAGATAAAGTAAAATGCGCTTTAGCTAATTGCCATTGATAACGAAACCATAGACAAAGTTGAGGAATATAAGTATCTTGGCACATTGATAGATTCTAAGCTCACCTACGGTTCAAAAGAGGACCGATGAATTGCAGTCTAATTAACTCGAAAACTAATAAACATAAAATATTCAATGAAAGGCTGATAATAATCAAAACATCAGACCAACTCTGTGATGTTTTTTTCAGAATATATGTCCTAAAAATAAAAAAGGTTGTTTAACAAACTATCATTAAAAATTTGACACAGTTCACCGTTTGTTACGAGGGTGGAGTGCAGAGAAAGGGACAGCCAAGTGTTCGAGCAGCACGGGCAGCAGGGCCGACAAAGTTATTGATTCATTAACTTGTGCTGTGCCTCCTCCATCCTTTCTCGCACACCTGGCTCTCTCTTTCTTTGCACTCCTTCCTCGTAACAAATAGTGAACTGTGTCAATATTTTAATGATACTTTCTTAAACAATCGAGTGGCGGTTACTACCCTTTTTTGCATCCGTCACCAACTCGTGTTATTCCGGGACAAGCCGAATAGCGACTCGTGCCCCTCTGGAAGGATTTCATTTTGGCGTATGAACATCAGAACTGCTTTAAACAAGAACGTTAATTCTATTCCTGTTCGATTCCAATGGTACTTAATATCGCCGAAGCACTTGTATATCGATGACCAAGATATTTTATGGATTCAAGCTTCTTTATACAACAACTTCTAAATGCCGCTAAATGACATCACTGTTATATCTTATTGCATTTTCAATCCATATACTTATTTCGTTTAATAAAGTAAAAATCTCTGATACAACTAAAAGAAGGAGGGAAAATATTTGTTAAACACATTCTAATGTCTTTCGATGCTTGTTATGTGCGAAAATACGACAAACCATTCAGAACGTGTGTAATGATTGCGGTGCTTTGATACAAAATAATCCCGCGTACTAAAATCGTTTATGGCATTATGTGATTGTTTAGAAAATCATGAAAATGATATATCGTCATTTTGAAAGTATAAAATAACATAGCTTACAGAAATGAGTTGCCTGGTGTGAAGTGTTAGCAAGGATAATGCCTGGGACGGTGAGAGATTCAAATACAGGCATTTGCGTTTGTTTGCATAACGGCTCTCATGGGTCCAGTTCGGTGTATTTCTGACGATCTTGCGAGCTTGTTTTGGAGATTGTATGTGCGCTTTCCACCAATTTTAGGAAATATAGGTATGAATCGCACGAGTTTCAAAACAAGCATATTATAGCTACACGTAACTAATCAACTTTAATCTTTAAAATTGGGTATATATTTCATATCTCTGGGGATATTTTATTCATTTTGAAATTCCACCAGGGGTTTGGCAGCAAGCCTAAGGTTAGATAAATGTGCAGTTTGAGAAATATTTTGCAATGATTTTTGAGTATCTGCTTTGGTATTTAATGTAGCTGAAAAAATTGGTTATTGTATTTGCATGTTCAATAAAACAAATCCCATTTGTGATTCTTAAACCTTATTTAGAAATATACATTTGGAAAAATAAGGTGAATAGCTGGTAATGATTACGTTTGAATGTTTGTTTAACACATATCTTCTCCCTTCGTTTAGTTGCAGACGTTTCAGATGTTTAATTCTTTTAAATAGATAAACAGAAGCGAAAACAAAAGAACAATACAATATACGAGTACCATTGGAATCGGACAGGAATTGAGTTATCGTTCTTCTATAAAGTAGTTCTGATGTTCATGCGCCAATATGAGGGGCACGAGTAGTTATTCGGCTTGTCCCGGAATAACACGAGTTGGTCACGGATGTGTTATTCTGGGGCAAGCCGAATAGTGATCTTCTGTCGGGTTACGGAAAGGGACGAGTAGTGACGAATGGCCTGTTGTACTCTACACACGTGACAGTACGTCCCTTGGCTACATCATATTACAGGGCACAACCACGTGCAGGTTACAACCAGAAAGTGCCCTGTTGACCAGGAAGTTCATCAAACCACAACACCGACTATAGCTGCACCTGTGTCAGAGGAGGAGAGGTGAGGTGAAATTGGGTTTTACGTCGTGCTTGAGAATATTTCGCTCATATGACGACGTGCATGCGTGTGTTTGTGTATGTGCGGCTGCTTGTACTAGCCCAGACTTAAGCTGGTTTTATAGTGGTAGCCAATACCATGCCGCAGTGAAGCATGACTTAGACACATTATACTGACTCCGAGCCAACCAGTCCTTGTTGTACCCATTAATGCCGAGCGCCAGGCAGGAGGAACAAGTACCATATTTTAACGTCTTTTGGTTTGACGCGGTCGGGGATCGAACCCGCGACCTTCCGCTCTCCGGGCGGACGCTCTAACCACTACACCACGGAGGCGGTCGTGTGGAAGGCGTATATTTGACAGAGAGGCTTCTAACATATCTTATCATTAACGACGAAACGGGAACAGATTCAGCACAATGGCATCATTGGACAAAATGTTTTCGTTTGATTAATAAAATCCTGAAGGATAAGACATACTACTGGAATAAAGAAACTGTGCATTATTTCATGTCATGCCTTACTTAATGCAAAACCATAACATGATTTGTGGTGTTTTCTTTAAAATCTGTTTAACTGTTGACAGGATAATATCGAAATATGTATGATTTGACACTAGGCATTGTGACACGCCCTTGAAGAGATGTGGTGCCAAAAGTCAGTTCACAAATTCAGCATCGTGGATGTCCACCACTGGTGTTGATGCAAGCTTGAACATGACGTCGCATAGACTACACTAAGAAAGTTTGGGGAACGTCTGAACCAACGCTTGTCAATGGCTGATTCAGGGCTTGACGTAAACGTCACTCCACCATTATCCCCAGCGTGCTCGATAGGGGACAGGTCCAGAGAAACAGCTGGCCAGGGGAGTACCCGAATGTTGTGTTGTCTCAAAATCCATGCTTGGCGTAAGATGCGACTAACGGGACCGAGTGGTTAGTGGTCTGACTTGGTTGACACATGTCAACGCTTACTAAAGAGTTAAACAACAAACAAACAAATCGTATTACTTTTGATAATTGATGATCCTATATGTTTTAAGAGGATGTGAAAACATCAAGTGGGAGTTGTAGTTTCTTTTGCTCCACAGTTTGTAAATTATCGTTTAATGCAAACCCACTTAAATATGTATGAATACAGAGACACTTCAAGGGATTAGGAAAGGATCCTTGTCCTTTCACTTTGAATATCGTGACTAAAATGATATATTTAAATAATTTATAATGTGATATCCAGAAGTGAGTGAACATGCTTTTGCGTTGCTCTTAGCAATATTCCACCCATATCACGTCGGGAGACACAAGAAATAGGCTTCACACACTGTACCTATGTGGGGAATCACATCTGGGTCTTCAGCGTGACGAGCGGAAGCTTAATATTAGGCTACCCCACCCTGGGTCTATATTGTGACATATAGAACAATACCAGGGGAGAATAACTTAAACTGTGTCAACTTACAATGAGTATAACGCATGTTCCATTATTTTACCAATGTTTGATATAGAGTACTAAAATCACTATACACTAGACGCCAAAAGAAACGTTACCCTCCTACCTTTATGAATTACTGAAAAACTATCAAACATATTTTAGAAGGTTTTAGTTTACAAGAAAGCTTAATAACACAGCTTTATGCAAATCACGAAACAAAATTCTCAAATGCATTCATATTTGGGTGAAATGCATCTTTCTGAGAAGAGTTAAATTGTCCTATATTCGTCCATGCCGAAATAAACCTATAATAGCGATTTTGATGTCCAAAAGAAAGATTGAAATACAATTCTGCTTTGAGACAAAGATAAACCATTTAAAGTCAGCATATTTCAACTAAATTAAAACAAGAAACAACTTTTGTAGAGTTTGTGAAATTGTAAAATAATCATTGCTATGATTTCAGTCTTTTAAAACGTTTTCTGCTGATTTGCATATTAGTGAAAACAAGTAAAACGTGTCTTTGATATTGTGAAAAAATGTTTAGGGACATCTACAAATATCTTTGTTAACATTTTTACTTGCAAAGTAACATTTTTCCAATTCCATTTTATACATAGCAATATCAATCGCCAAACGCAACAATATTCAAACAGTATTTACATCCATTTCACATGTAGAATGATTCTACAGGGTATAAAGAGAGCTTATAAGACATGATCTGATACACAAGTACGAGAAACATGCCACGATTAACAGCTGAACGGAGAGAAAGAAAGAGCAATTGGGATTGTGCAGATGGGGTCGATATACAATACTGTTGCCAACGCCCACGGATGCCCCCGTATCACGGTTATAAGACTTATTCAGGGCTTCAGACAGACTGGGGTCACCGTAGACAGACCAAGAAGTGGTCCACGCATCACAATGCCAGCTGAAGATAGGTACCTCCGTCATTAAGGAAGGAGGGTAAACTTTCTTTGGCGTTTAGTGTATTTAGTGTACAATTATTGTGATCATCTTTGAATAACCAGTTGCGTATTTACATCAATATTTTATTAAACCATCAGCGAAATATAACATAAAGTAAACGACTGTCCACGTAGCTGACCGTCACACGTCAGTAACTCTGAATTATGCAACTCAGTCAAGCTGCCTCTGCTAGGGTTGTGCCCCAGGCCGATACAGGCTGTACGTGGTCGGGCGCTTCGTCATTGTAAGTAGATAAGGCCAGATACGTAGTGATATACATGATTTTAAGTGGTCAGTGCATACCGTGACACAGGAATAATTGCAAATGATACATTAGATGATGGACACGTTTCGATTACAGCTACAATATTAGGTAACTTTAATATTCCACAGAAGGCCTGAGTCCCTGTATATACCGAGACCAGTAGCATATCTAGATACTTCACTCTGCTACGAATAAAGACTCCAAGGGACTCAGCAGCCTTCTCTCTGTTTTTAAGGTAAGATTGTATTATTTTAATGTATTACTTAAAGTCTTGAAGTATATCGTGCCATATGCGCTCCACCTGTGTGTACTACTTTTTCCTAGCCTTAACCATATGGTGTAAATCCAGCTAGAGACCATGCTGGACGCAAATGTACTGTAAGTCCCCATGGTGCCTATAGTTTGGCATGAAATGCATGTGGACCCGGTTTTTTGTAAATATCTCTTCATACTATGACCCAATTGATCTCAAACTGTGCAAGTGGATGTTTTGTCAGACAACCTAATCACATTGTAAATCACCGATTTTATGCATTTGTATTAAAGAATCTGTCTATGTAACTGTCAACAAAATCAACAGCAGAACGCAGAATGCTTGCAGAGGGAGGGGAGCTAATGACCTGTAACAGCGGCAGTGTTGGGTCTGCCTGCCTGTCTGTATATTATTTGTCATGAATAAGTGATAATTGTGTTTTAATTATGTTTGATATTTTGGTTGCATGTGACCTTTAACACACACACACACACACACGCACGCACGCACGCACACACACACACGCGCGCGCGCAAAAACACACACACTCACATAAACACACGCACGCTCAATATCTTGTCGTCATTGTGACGTAGTCAAGCTCAACCTCCATCAGAACAAACAAGCTACTTCGGTTTGTTGTTTAACGCCTCACTGAACAGTATTCCAGCTACATGGCAGCGCTTTGTAACTTAGCGAGTCTGGACCAGACAATCCAGTGATCGATAATCGCCTCTAAGAACAAGTATGGGCTACTGAAGACACATGTATCCCGGATCTCCGCGGGTGCCTATCGTAATAAAGGAGTTATTATAAAGGAGTCAATATATATTTTTACTTTTATCAACGAGTGTTGATATATTTGATATCAGAAGACACGAGGGTGAGATTCTATTTATCATCCAAAATCACTCTTCATTAGTTTTCAATGAAAAAATGTACATCTCTGAACACAGTACTGCCATTAGATTTGCAGTGCAGTGATGTCATAGCATTGTGACGTCATCAAGTTCATGACGTCATAGCATTGTCAGGGCATTGTGCAAAATCTACTGTCAAAACGATATCTCCTAGGAAATATTGTCTGATCTCACACAAGCGATATCTCCTGTGGAGCACAGTTTTGGATGATAAACTGTTATCCTTCTTTTCATTTCCAATTTGATAACAAATGTCAATAGTTTTCTTGTTTGTTCATTTGTTTATTTGTGACACTCAGCAATAGTCCAGCTATAAGACAGCGGTCTGGATATTATCGAAATTGGTCTTGACGTTTGTTTGATAGAAGGAAGGGAAATGGAAGAGCTATTTACTTAGTCAGATGCCTAAATGAAAGTTCTGTCTTGGCAGAGAGTTAGATTTCTCGGGAGTGGGAAAATATAGCACGGTTTCATGACTTGATAAAGTAATTATGTTATCGGTGCCACATGACTCGAAATGTTTTTTAAATTTAACCTAAAGGGACTGACATGGGAAATCCCAATCTAAAATATCTGTTTATGATAATACAAAATGATTGTTAAAATAGACCATCAGAGATGGGTTCAAATGAGCCTACTGGATGAGTGAGTGAGTATGACTTTACGCCGCTTTTGGCAATATTCCATCAATATTACGACTGGGACAAAGAAACTGACATGTTTTATTAATACCTTTTTTGTGGAAACGATGATAATGAAAGGGAAACTAAAGTCCTTTTCATACATCATCATCATTATCATAGGTTTATGCATTGCTATCAAAGGGACAAGACGTTAGTGTTAAGGTGGGGGCGGTGGGGTAGTCGTCACCATAGTGAACACCCGGGTTCGTTTCCCCACATGGGTAGAATGTGTGAAGCCCATTTCTGATGTCTCCTGTCGTCATATTGCTGAAATATTGCTAAAAGCGACGTAAACCCTAGCTTACTCACTCACTTGTCCATGAAATAATTGTGATGTATCTATATATGCCCATGGCACATAGGGCCTGGTATAGAAGTAAAGATAACGTATTTGTGGGTTGGGGCAGTCGGCTATATCCCGATTGTATTTAGACCTTAGTAAATTACGATATAACATGGTTCAATCCTTTTCATTTGCGCAGTTCCTGGCAGATTGGGCTTGGTTGTATGCTGTGGGCCGTTCAGAACACCATGGCAAGCCTCTCATTAGAAGAACATATTCTCGCCATGTACAAAGTGATAGTAAATCAAACATTCACTGGAGTGTACAAGGGGCATATTGAAAATGCTCTAACAGGATTCAGTCGACATGTTGTTGAGGTTGATCAAGGTAATATAACGGAATGCTTGAAACAGATAAAGCGGGACGCCATCTTACGGGAGGTCTGGAGCGGGATAACGGATCCAGATATTGACGATACTTGGGGTTGGTATACTGACCCATGGAAAACATGTATCTGGTGCCTTGTGCAAGATGATCACCTCATCCCCTCCCCACGTAAAAGATGCCAGGTAACTCTGGTTAATGTTGATGTATTCCCCTGTCCTGCATATTCCAAGTGGGAAATGGGGGTGAACATAACGGCCATAATCGAATGACGTTGATGGTAGGATTCTACACCTGGCGTATTCTGTGACACAGCAGCAGGATTCGTCACATTTCCAGGAGCTCCTGGAATCATACTATTTGGTAGTGATTCCTGCTTATGCTACAATCGGCTTGGTTCTACAGCTGTGACTTCTGTGACTCTTGCCAACACTGTAGAGGAAAAAGCCACATTTGTAGGAGCACCTGGCCCCGATTTCTCGGGTTTTCACTCAAATTTAAGAAAACGCAGGAAAATGCATTTCCCAGAATGAACTGAAATCGATATCAAACTCAAACATAGTACACAATTTGAGTTTGATGGAAAGATTACTTATGTTGTTTGGGGTTTTTTTATTTTAAAAATGCAGTTACAAATTGACAAACGCTTCAGTTTGTTTCGAGAAATCGGGGCCTGGTATCATAATATTTGGTAGTGATTCATAAATATATGCTTATGCTGTGGTCGGATCGTATATACAGCATACTCTGCGTTTAGTAATACCAAGCTGTAGTAAACTAACAAACATCTAAACAACTGTCAGTTATCACTTCTGTGGCATCACTTCTGTGGGATACAGCCATCAATCAACACATCCAGAATGACAAGAGTCTCTTACCATCACCACTGTTCTACTGGATGATTCTAATGTGCACGTGTGGCTGTGAAAACTGGATCGTGGGACTTTGTGAATCGATAACATCATAACTGCGCTGTTGTGAAACAACATTGACATGTACTTGAAATGGTCTCAAAAACTCAACCTGATCTCGGAGATGGTACGGTGTTCTCCATGTTTTTCATGCAACTCATGCTGCTCCTGCTGTTCACAAGGACCAGCCCTATAGAATGCACCCCCAAACCTGGTTGAAACATTCACATTACAACGTCAGCAGGGTGTCCCTTCTCACGACAGCTAAGAGGAACCAGGCGCTAGGAAGACTTGAAGCTGGCCACACTGCACAAGCCGTTGCCAATCACTTCCGGGTCAACGTTCGGACCATCTACAGACTGCAGCAACGTTTCCGGGCCACCAACACCTCAAATGATCGGCCCCGTACTGGCAGTGCAAAGGTGACCACAAGACGACAAGACCGCAATGTTGTGCGACAGCATGAACAGAATCCCTTCATGCAGGCATCCAAAACAGCATGCCAGACAGTGGAAACACACGGAAGACCATCAGTACTGATACAGTACGCCGACGTCTTAACATCGGGAACTTCCATTGCCGTAGACCTTACCGTGGACCTATCCTCACCCCTCGTCATCGGTGTGAACGTCTACAGTTTGGCCTACAAACCACCCAAACTGGCGATACAGGCAATGGAGAACTGTTCTGTTCACAGATGAGAGTCGGTATTGCGTATCAACTGCAGATGGCAGAACAAGAATATGGCGACGACGTGGCCAGCGCTACTCAGACCAATGTGTTATGGAAAGAGACTCATGGGGAGGTGCAAGCATCATGGTATGGGGTGGAATAGGCCTGAACCAGAGAGTGGGTCCTGTGGTGTTTTTGATCCTCTTATTATGTCAATTTTTGTAATGATTTGAATTCAGTCCTTAACTAATTTTGAATTCGTACTGAGGGTTTTTTTGCTGCTGAGTATATTATATATATTATATCATAATGTATGAAAAAAACACTGTGGACGAAGGACAGTAAAATAACTAGATAAATTCTCAGGACTTTATTTATTGAAACAATATCTTCGTTAAAACATACTACGTATATATATATACCTCTCACCACTTGGTTGTAGTCACGTTTAGCTTCATAACTGTGTAGGAATCTACACCCTAACGTCGCTCTAAACAAGATTCATTGAGTATGGTTTTACGCCGCTTTTAGCAATATTCCAGCAATGTCACGGCGAGGGACACCAGAAATGGGCTTCACACATTGTACCCATGTTGGGAATCGAACCCGGACCTTCAGCGGGACAATCGAATGATTTAACCACTAGGCTACCCACCCTCCCTCTGAAAAAGGAAGTAGTCGTAATCTTTCTTAATTTTTGTGCCGAATGTTCTGTTGTAACTGAGACGGGAAAGTCACCCATACAGCCTTATGTCACCATAGATGTTTCATTTGCACAAAGCATCACGATCGCTGATGTCACGAAACACTTCTCAACCAGGGCAAAGGGTGGAAGGGCGAGCTCTAAGTTACCACGTTAGTATCAAGTCAAACGTGATTCCGCTCTGAATACCGATATACAAAACTGATGTATAAACATAGACCCCGTTTATAATTAAATCATACTCATATTTGTAAAGCTGTTCAGGTAAAGCTGTTTAGTTAAAGACGTTACACAGTTGGGTTTATATTCATATGTGCAGGTGCACAGCATTCATGTCCTATTTCCTGAATTTCTACTTCTTACTTCTGGTCGCCGACTGCGCACGCAGATATTCAGACTAAACAGGGCTCGAAATTCTTTCATCCCAGCAAGCATCAGTGTTTTAAATGAATTATTTTAATGTTTGTAAATAATTTTAAATGACTTTATCAATTGTTTCAAACTGTAATCTTAATATACATTTAGTGCTAATTATAATGTCGCCACTATAACAGTAAACCTTGAATATATTATTATTTATTTATCATGTATATTTACCTGATATATTGGGCGTTGTTGCCAGCTATTTTAGTAATATTTGACATAATATATGTATGGGTGTTTGGGTGGTCGCATGTTTTTGTTGTATTGGTTTCAGTGTAAACACGCAACCGTATACGGTAAATTTCCCTCGGGATAATAAATTATCTTCTCTTATATTTGATCAGAATTTGCAGGATTCATGTACAGGTGAATCAAGTAATTCACTGGAGACATAAAGATAAAACGCTTCCCTAGAAATGATTCTTCCTTAGAACACAGGCTTCCTTAGAAATGCTATAAAATGCAAGTATTTTCTTACTGGACTTGACATTCATTCTTGTTATGATCCTGGAGTCTGTATTTCGTGAACATCTCTTGAGTAGACGACAATCCGATTCTAAGTGAATCTTGTTGACTAAAGAAGAGTACTTTAATTTGATTGGAGAAGTCAAGGTTGCACTAAGAGCTGAGAAGAAGGCATTCCGGCAGTATTACGTTCTTGGGAGGTATGAGATCGTATGTGGTGACGTTGAGAAGTTAATCAGAAAGAGAAGGCCAGCATCAGAATCTGCAGTTAGCTACTTCACTCATTCCGATGAGATGTTTGATATCATGAAACATGCCCACATTTCTGCTGGTCATGGAGGCAGAGACAAAATGGTAAAAGCATTAGTGAAATATGCAAATGTCACACGCGATGCTATTGAGTTATTCAAATCCCTTTGCATAGAATTTCAAAAGAAGAGGAAACGTGTTACAACAAAAGGTGTTGTTTGTGAAACCTATCGTCTACCGTGGACAGGTAGATCTTGTGGACATGCAGTCAATGGCCAGTGGATCACATAAGTGGATCATGGTTTACCAAGGTCACTTTACTAAATTCTGTGTCCTTCGTCCACTCACGGATATCGTGGATATCTTCTTGCTACTTGGTGCACCTGTCAAAAATTCCTGATGTCTTTTATGTCTGTGATTTACTTCAATGTTTGTTACTGTTCTAAACGTGGAAAGCAGTGTGCCACACGTGTGTTACAAGTTTATTGTGTATTGGTTTATTGTGTAACAGCAGATGCTACTATTTCATGTCTGTAATTTACTTCAATATTGATTTGTATTTTTGTGTTACGTAGCTGATACTATTTCTTTTACATCAGAACATCATGTGTTTTTTAATACTGTTTGAAATAAAGTCATTTGTGCTTCAATTAATGAATTTGTTAGATATTCACCACTTATTCATTCAAACAGAACGAAATCCATGCTGATCTTGTCTGCTCAATAATCCCTGTTCAACAATCAGTCAATCTGTACAATAATTGAGTTAATTAATCAGGCAATGTACACAATGCCTGGAAATTTTAGACAATATACACAATGATTGCATAGTGCCATTTAGAAAGTGGTCAAATGTAACATGTGTTATATTTGGGATTACACTTTCTTAGTAAAGTACAAATTCTAGTACATTTTGAGTTGAGACCCACCGGGATTCGAACTCACACCCTCAGAGTCAGGCACCTAATCGCCAGCACACAAAGTCAGAACCTCTTACTTCTCTGTGTCATATTGTTTCGTCAAACGTTATCATAGTATTGCGCGGAAATCTAAAATAGAAAATTGATGTTATGTCATAAATGGTGTCTTTTAAATATATTTCAGCAGAGGTTATCAGTATTTAGATGTGTGCTGTATTGCATGCAATTCTTAGCATTCTGCCAATGAGCTACTTAATGAGCGGTTGAGTAGCCTTGTGGTTAAAGCGTTTGCACGTCACACCGATTACCCGTGTTCGATTCCCACGTGGGTACAATGTGTGAAGCCCATTGTGATATTGTTGGAGTATTGCTCAAACCGACGTAAAACCATACTCACTCACTATACACTACTTTAGATACTAACATTGCCACACAACTCCACAATCTCACAAGGAAACTCTGTGTGTCGAGACAAATCAACAATTTGACGAAAAGATTTGAATGAAAATGCCCAGACGTTTACCCTTTCGGTGAATTCAGGATAAATGTGACACATTATATGTTGGCTGTTTCTTACAAAGAGAGTGGATTTCATTCAAAGCTGTAACCTGAAACGTATTCCGTACAAAGGTAGTCAGTCATTGTGAGCTGGTCCATGGCGATACACCAGCTCTATCGAACATTGACAAAACACATTTTTAACGTGGTTAAACAGAATTGCTTTCCCACAGAGAACGTGGATTATCTATTTTTGTTCCTGACGTGTTTTGTGCAGAGTAGACAGACAGATTTTTCAACGTTGTTTAAAGCATTATATCTATATGAAAGCATACTTTACGCTCCGACATGTTGTCATGCTGAGCTGCACCCAAACATGAAAAATACTTTTGCTGCAAAATTAAATAACATAAATGACTCATTTATAA